ATGCAAGATAATTTCTACAAAATCTGCAAGCCAAAATTTCTGCTGAATTTCAAGCTAACAACTAAAAATTTGCTGCTAACCAAAACATGCGCCAAATCTCTAGTAAACAGGTGATTATAGCTGAGGTATTTTTAGTCGTGACTATGGAGACTACAAAAGTCAGAATGAAGGGTTTTTTTTTCTGAAAAAAGTTATGAAGCAATTCTCGGATTAATATCAATACTCTTTGAGACGATAAATTTTGATTATGTGACAAGATTTGTCATAAATCCTACACTGAATAAGCATTCGTGAGCTTTGTTGCGACTTATTGTATAAATTCCAATAATTCAAGGAAAGAACCCAAAGCTCCTAACTAATAAGTAGAGAGAAGAGGAAAACTAGTGACTTTTAGTTGACAGACTTGACATTAGGCCGTTGCTGGCGAGTCGTGAGAAAAACTCTTTTGGCCGAATACCTCAATGAAAAGGAATTGCAAAGCAGCTGCTCTCCCTACTATAGTTAAAAGAATGAGTGATGAAGTTGGAAAAGTAGCTATAGGAAAGCGCAAACTCGTACATTTCTAAAAAGAGGGCTTAGTTTTGTACAAAAAAAATGAGAATTCAGGAAAAGAAAGGGATTAGCAGCTACAGCTGTGGCGTTGAGTAACGGGGCACAGAGCTCGCCCTAAAGCTGACAGAGGGGCGGGGTGTGAAAAGTCAGTCTTAAAGGTGTATTTGCATTTACTGAGTGTTTATTCTCAGATCCATCTTTTTTTTACTCAAAATTTCCAAAAAAAAATTTATCTCAAAATCGTTACTACCTTAAGGCCACTAATAACATTTATATTTTACCCGTACACAACGCAAATACTGTAATAAAAAATTATGTTACTTGTACTCTGCTATCAACAAACTTTTCTATCCCATACCTTAAACGAACAACCTGTAAATCACTCAACAAACTCCACAAATCGTTAAATTTGCACTCACATAACCTTAAGTCGAGCTCCGGGCATATTCGCACTTTCCTCGTCCTTTGCTGATTCACCAGTAGTCGCCTCAGTCGCCGGTAGTAACCTGGGCATGTGAGCACGTTCTAAGGAATAGACAAGCTCATCCAGTGAGGCACTGTCACTCTAAAAATAACAAATTTATATATAATTATTTTTTAAACTCATTTTTAGCTTAATAAGCGAGATTCCACGCTATGTTGGCT